AGTTTGCAATAAATCAGTACATACGCATACAGCGTAGTTGTAGACGTACTGTACTTGCACGCCCTTTTGACCGGACGGTAACGTTCGAGATGTGACGTGTCGCGCAAAGCTCTTTGTCTGATCGCACATAATCTAACAGTGCGTCTTCTCTGTTATAATAATCGACGCTTTGCTTCCCACCTCGCACTTTGTGTCCTGATTTCACGTAGTTGTGGCTAACGATAGACAGCAAAACGACGTCGTTAGCCCTGATAAGTGCCTGTACCAGAAGATGCACTTACTGTATTTGAATACCAGTCGCTGCTTTCCACGTCCATTTATCCTTCCTGATCAACGGTCAAAACGCGTTAAAATCCATGTCACTTGTTATCCATCCGACGAAAATCGCGAATGACTGGTGAGCGGCCGGGGGGGGAGGGGGGGGGGTTGCCATATATTCCAAAATTTTGGAGTCTTGTCCTTGTCGGAGGTATCTAACATTCTTCAAGCCATGCGCGCGAGGTAATATGAATCGAGTCTGAATTCACTTTAACTTGCAGGTGGTCAGATATGCAATAAACGCATCGCGCGAGTTGATATGAATCAACGTTTTACTCACCTCAATTTCTTTTATAATTGACCCGCTAATGTGAGAGGGCAGGAATCTAAATCCTTAAATGATATAATTTAAAGCTTACCGACAGCCTATCGTATACCTTAGCCTCCCGCCAAATTTCACATGCCCTTTTGAGGATATCGTTCATACAGATTTGCTATTGTCGCTTGCTCATTCGATGAACCCTACGAGTGTGCCTTATATTTCTCACAACTGTATTTGGAGTTTTGGTTTACGGGCGATCCGCAAGTTGCGGGCCGTAAGGGGCTGGTCGCGTTATTAATAACTGGTGCTGGCTCTCGGTCTGGTACTTCATATAGGTGCAGGGTTACATCGCCCTATGATTGCTTATTTCTAAATGGGGGTAGACTTTTTTGCCAACTTTACAGAGCTCGAGGTTCCCGGGTTCTGTGCAAATGCTGCCAGTGACATCATATGGTTCCTACTTAGTTTGCAATTACCGCTCTTTTGACTATGCACAGTCCACCCCGTTGGGCCGCGCTCACAACAAATGCCGTCGCTGCAACTCTTTCGCTTGTGTGAGTTGATGCTAAAAACTAATTACCCCTGTAAACATTAGCTTCGTTAGCGAGCCACTGGAGAAAGATAACATTGTCATAATTTGGGTTTTGCTGGAGTGCGACGGGAAAACCTTCGCCACACTTTATAGTGAGCTTTTTTAATTTTGTTTTCGCAGCTGGAAATTAGAAAGGCGTAATCACAAATTAAGCTTCTCCACGCATCAAAACGGATCGTCCATTCATCACAAAGGTAATCTAAAAAAATCAAGTTAGAATCGAACCGAGTGACGCTTTAACGTATCGTTAGTTCATTCTTTACCAATCCTGAAGCGAATAATGAAAGCCCACCAAATCGCTGTAGCTACAAAAAATTAATTGACCAATCCAATAGTTCTAACTCATTAATGTGTACCACATGTAACCAAATGGAGGTAGTATCTTTTTACGATTCGAAGTTCAAGCGAGCAAGTCGTGCCGTAAATTCTTCAAATCCGCGTCAGTAAGCGGGTCAACCGTATTAGTTGAATAGTGAGGGGGAATTCCAAAGAAAAAGAATTATCAGCGTCCCAAGCGCATGTTACAGCAGCTCATCTGCAATTTACGCTAAGAATACCAGTTAGGTTTTCTTGTCTTTGCGATGGCTAACAGTACTGAATCACTGTGGAATTCTCTATATTTTAATCCAGCGTTTCTCAAGGGACGGCACTCGATCTAAATATTTTTTATTTTTACTTTAATGTGATTCATTAGTAAACGCCTAACTAAACACTGACTCGTTTTCAATAATATGGCTAAACTGTTATATCACAGAAAGATGTGGTGGTATTCTCTCTTTGAACAAATTCGTGAATACACCACTGGGTACCAGAAACAGGTCGTTTCACCTCTTATAACCAATATATTGTGGACATTACAAAAACACAGAAGCACGTGGCCTGTGGAGGCCACGGGTCACACCAAAAACCATTCACCCAGTGAATGTTGCCAGAAGAAAATTGAAGGAAACAATTTTCTAGTTTAAAGTAAATATAGTCCAGTGGGTGAATGTTAAGATGTCTCTACGGCTATTTGGACATCGAATTTCCTTGCTACTGTTTTAACAGTTACTATGTTTTAGCTTAAATGATCCTGTGGTGGGTTGAGAGGTTGGATAGCCTCATACAGCTCGTGCAGTGGGCGGTAAGGCAATCTCCAGATCGGCAGCGGCAGGGTACCACTGCTGACCTTCATGTGAATAGCCGGTTGAGAGGATTACTGTCCCGAGCTGGCAGATAGCGTAGTAGAATAGAGAGAGTAACAGCTTGTGTTTTGATTAATACACCAGGCAAAGACGTGAAGGGAGTTCCAGCTCCCCATTTTTGTGTTCATTTGCGAGACCCACCACAAAGTTAACTTAAGTAACCAGGGAAAGCAAAGCTAAATACAAATCTGGAGCGCCAGTAGTGTCGTTTTTCGTTCCACTCGAGGCACCGATGATCGAGAGCACATCGCACGCAGCGCTAGTGGATTGAAAACGACGACACAAGGCGTAAGAGCAGAAAGTGGCCATCCGTTGCTGCTACGACCCAGAACAAATCTCAGTCATGACGACAGACGTCTGCAGCTCGTTCGAGCCGAGCTTGCTGGAGGTTCTGTGCTACCTGGGTGGGGAATTGACAGGGAAGACCTGACCAATGAGCTACTTCTGGGCAAGATCGACGCGATCTTCGCTACAGTGAAGAACAACACAGTGCCCAGCGTTGCGTTTGTGTTCAAGGATGCTGTACGGATGAACTTGCAGGAAACAGACGTACGCGAGCGAGTAGTGCAATACTTTCGGTCTAGTCGTCAGGTGATTAAGGAACATTGCTGGTTCAAATTCTTTATTGGACAAGAAGTCCTGAAGTTGAAGTACAAACTGCTAGTCGCGTCCCTTGAGCCTCAGGCACTGCGGGAAGAGATATAGTCCATTCTGACATATCAGAATCGGGCTGCGCGTAGTGACTAAAAGGTACTTTTCAAGGTCATTTTGGAGAAAGCTCTTGAGCGCCGTAACCGGCAATGCAGTTCGACTCGAACCAGGAAAAACCTGGATAGTTCACGGGAATCGAGTCGCCCAAAGAAGAAATTTATGACAAAGGACAGTGACGAAGCGAAGCGCGTTCAGCAACAACCACATGATACAGTGAGTAGAAAGCAAGGTCGGAACGTCCAACAGGGACATTCACAGACAAGAGCTGCACATCCGATCGGTGGTTGCCTCAAGTGTAAGGGGGGTCATTGGTTAGTGAAGTGTCCAGTTGCGACTCACGACGAGAAGCTCGATCTATTGCGGCAGATGCATAGCGGCGCAACCGTGAGAAGCTCACGACTGAAGTGTTAAGCGCATTAAAGAGCGCCTGTCTGGGCCTGTAAATCTAGTTGAACTAAACAGAGTGCACTCGATGCCCATTTGCGCTGATTCAGGAGCAGACACAAGCGTCATCAGCAGAATAAAGCTCCGAGACTTGGTGACAAAGGATCCAGCGGTGAAACCCGACAAATTGAAGGAGACGGTTGTAGTGAGGACAGCTGGAAGACACACTATCCGAGCCCGCGATAATGTGGACGTGAATTTGCGGATAAATACAGCTGCAGGGCCGGTGTGTCTTACAAAACCAGTGACACGTTTAGAAATCGACGAAGATGAAGAGGAATTTACCCTGAAGAAGGATGTTTTGACTACGCTCGGAATTGCCGTGGACAGGCAGCTTGAACAGCTTGTGGGAAGTGATATCACTGGCGATGAAGATCCTGTAAATTGCAATTACGACTTTGAGATCGGTGTGGAATGTGACAGTGAGGTGAGGGTTGCAATTGATGAGCTAGTGGATTAGGCGATTGATAACGGATATCCACGCGAGCAAAGAGATGATTTGTTGAAGATGACAGTGACGTTTGACATTTGGAGGCTGAACCGCGGTGGTGACCCTCCGGCAACGGTTCCGCCACTGTTGGTAAAGCAGAGGGATGGTGTCGAACCGCTGAAGTGCAAGGCGAGGCAGTATTCGCCGCACTTAAGAGATTTTTAGATACTTTAACACTGAGCTCGAGCGTATGGGGTTGGGTTTATGAAAACCCACAGAGTCGATGGGTCAGCCAGTGAGGAAGCCCGGCTCTGACGAATACCAGCCGTCCAGTGAATACCGTACGGTGAATGCGGAGACTGAAGCTGCGGTGGGTGTGATGCCGATTCTTCGTGTCATTACGGAGCACGTACGTGGTATGGCTCATTTTGGTTTGTTTGACTTTCTAAAAGGTTTTTGGCAGCTTCCTTTGTCAAAAGAGTGTCAGCAATTTCTTTCGCACATGACGGATAGTAAAGTGTTTACACCTACCCAAGTGCCACAAGGATGTAGTGATGCTGGCATTCATTTTCAGTGAACGATGGAGACGTATTTCAAGGAATTACTGTACAAGCACCTACTGGTTTAGGTAGATGACATTATAATGTATGGTAGCAATATTGATGAGTGCCTGGAGAAGCTTCAAAAACCTTTTTCTTTGGTAAACGCCTTCGGTTTAAAACTGAGTGTGAAAACGTCAAGTCTATATCAGAGAGGCGTGAGGTCGTGTGGGAAAATTATAGATGGCGCTGGAGTAACGCGTGACCCCGCGCGCATACGATCACTACGGGAAATGCCGTACCCGCAGACTGCTGTAGACCTACAGCAATTCTGGTGTGTAGCGAATTGGTTTTTTGCGAGAAAGTATTGTGGGCTATGCAGTAGCTGTGATGCCACTTCAGGAGTGTTTTGACGTTGCACTTCGGAACCAAAGGAAGTCGAAGCGAGCTGCCGCAGCGGTGCCTATAGTGTTTAATGCTGAGCTTCGAGTAGGTGCCGACAAAGTCTGTAAGCTGCTAGCTACATCGGCGACTCTGCCGATGGAGGCATGGTGCTAGTCACGGATGCCTCTGACCAGGGTTGGATTGTTTTAGTTATTGAAGTTGAGAACTGGGCCTCCACAAAGGACGTTAGCGAGCAGTCTCACCGACTTACGACGTGTCTAAGTGGTACATTTCCTGGTGCTTAAGTGAATTGGAGTGTAATTGAGAAAGAAGCGATCCCTCTAGTCACTGCCTGTGAAACGTTATCGTATTTACTGATGAGACCGAGGGGATTTAGGATGTTCTGCGATCACAGGAATTTAATACATGTATTTGGGTTTGCGGGGAATATCAAGAAGCATATTCGTGGTAAATTACTTCGATGGGCACTAAAGTTGAGTGAATTTCGGTACACTATCAATCATATCGCCGGGACAGCTGACGTGTCGGCTGGTATGTTGAGTCGGTGGGCTTGCCAGCCAACAGAACCTGTTCACGTGAGCGTAGTGGCTACCCGTCGGACCCAACAGCAGGAGCAAGTCACGCTCCGCCCTCTGGACGACAAAAACTTTGTGTTGCCGACACTTGACGCAATGTTGCGGGCTCAGAAGCGACACGCACCGCGCCCCTACCATCATGGCTGCTGATGGACGGCTAGTAAACGGAAAATTACTGTGGATACCAACCGAAGAGCATGCATTGCTGCGTCGGTTGATGAATATCTCGCATTGTGGGCCTCGTGACCGGCATGCAATGATGGCCCAGTTGGCCAGTGTGTAAGCGATTGAACGGCTCCGTGTGCACGTAGAGCACTTCCTGGCGAAGCGCCTGTTGTGTATGCATATTAAAGGAGGGAATATCATTTCGAGGCCATGGGGAGAAACGTACTGTAGCCAGACGCATGGTACAATGAAGAGCTACAATTTGACTTTTTCATTTCTGGGTGAATCATTTTGAGACAATCAGTACCTACTGGCACTGAAGGACGATGTTAGTCATTTTTGTGAATTAGTAGTCTGTGAGTCACCGACTAGTGCCGTGGTCGCTGAGGCTGTTCTACAGTGGCATTCTCGTTTCGGGGTGCCGCAACTATGGACTAGTGACCATGGCTCGCATTTTAAATGTGAAGCGGTTGACACCTTGAGGAGTAAGTTGAAGTGCGATCACGATTATTCGGTGGCATATTGTACGTGGATAAATTGATCTATTGATCGGTTAAATAGGGATATTCTACAAGTTTTTCGAGTTATTATTTTGGAGTACAAACCGGATCATCGTGACTTGGCGTCACTGGTCTCTCTAGTACAGTCTATCTTGAATCACACACCTTTACCCTCGCTAGCCTACAAGTCACCACTGAAAATATTTACGGGGCTGCCGCGACCGTCACCTTTTGGCCACGCTTTCGTACGCAAACAAAGCTAAGGTGAGAGCATTGAAGCTGGGAACTCTGACTAAATTGAGCAGTCGCAGGCGCAGTTACGTGTTAGTATTCATAATATGCACGGAGACGTCAGTAATGCGAGGGTGAAGCAAACTTTTTAGAAAAAAAGAAGGAACGTGGAGAAAACTTAGCGAATTTTTCGGTTGGAGATTTTGTGCTACGTTCTCGAGTGGATGAGAACCACGAAAGCAAACTTCTAGTTACTTGGGAAGGGTCGCACGTGATGACGGAGGCTCACACGAGACTTTTTGTGGTTAGAGACTTAGTGACCGGCAAGTCACGTGACGTGCACTCGTCACGGTTGAAGTTCTTTAAAGATAGTGACCTAGAAGTAACTGGATAATTACTACAATACGTGACAGGCCAAGGTATTGTGCTCGATGTGGCCACGATTAAGCAGCACCGTTGGAATGTACAACGAAAGGACTACGAGGTCTACGCTAGCTGGCGTGGTCTCGAGGATATCGAGAATTCCTGGGAGCCGTTTGCTGCTATGACACGAGATGTGGGAGTTCTAGTGTATACTTATGTTACAACTGCGGAGGATACGCAGCTTGCTGAACATTCGACTCCGCTCAGCCGGCCTTAAAGAAGCGGCAGTAGTGTACGGTCAGGTTGTGACTGTGCACTATTTTCAAGTGGTCATGATGTACTGTTTGGATATGATTGCACGATTTCAACAGAGCCAAGTAAGACCAAGTCAAGTTGAAGTTCCATGTGACGGGATATTTCGATTGGTGAATTTTTATATTAGCGAATTTTTCCAGTTATTTCTACAATGAAATTTCGTTATCAATAAATTTTGGATTGTGGACGAGGTGACACATTTCCAGGAGAGATACGTTGGCGAGTGTCGACAAAGTACAGGCGCCAAGACAATCTCCAGATCGGCAATGGCAGGGTTGCCACTGCCAACCTTCGAGTGAATGGCTGGTTGAGAGGCTTGCTGGCCCGAGCTGGCAGATAGCGTAGTAGAATAGAGAGAATAACAGTTTGCGTTTTGCTTAATACACCAGGCAAAGACGTGAAGGAAGTGCCAGCTCCCTAGTTGGTGTTCATTTGCGCGACCCACCACACTCCAATCACAGTAATTTCTGTTGCAACGGCGCATAGATGATTCCTCTACGGCTTGTAACATGGTGGGCATTTCTTTTACGGATGCGTGCCGTACAGCGTCATCATGAAGAGTACGTTTTCTAAAGATCACACGCTAGAATTTCCATTGAGCAACTGTGCCATCTTTATATGTTATCTCCACCATCTTTGTTTGATTTTGACTTAGATCCGTGCACCGGCTCCACGTAGCCCAGTAGCGACCACTCAGCGAATTCAGCTATAGTGAGCATTTGCGCTTTTTATTGTCAGCTTCAAGTATCTCGAGCAAATCTTGCGTGCCTCAATTCGGAGGTTTACGAAGTAAGTAAGTAAGTAAGTAAGTAAGTAAATGCTTTAAATGTGTGCACTTCATTCTGCTCGTTGCTGATTCTGAAAACGTGGTGCAATGGTGTAAAATATATTTATTTCAAATCAACTTTCCAGCATATATATGTCGACTTATGTTGCAAGAGCTGAAATAGCCCCGCTGAAAATAACACAGTGCTGAATTTTACCCGCGTCAAAAATGTTACAGAAAAATTATTGTTCTAAAGAAATGAGCAGGATTAAGACACCAAACAGGGCTAGGGTGTAAAAGGAGGGCTTAAAAAAAAGCGCCTCACTTTGTACACGTACTGATTTTTGTATTACATTTAAGATCGGCTACTACCACGGGCCTGTTCCCTTATATCCATAGGCGAGGTTGCTGCGCGCGATCTGGGGTATAGTTAGTCGAAATTCAACTGCAAACCTTCTTTTTAAACTCAGAGTTTGTTTCGACACATGTAATATTTTTTGTTATTGTTTTCAGCACGACCCGGATTAAATTTACTTTCGTTGGTCACTTTCTTTAAGAATTCAGAGATTCCCTGTGTGAAACACGGCATTAGCTCGGCTCACAGTGTTTGGTGATAGTAGCGCTAATAAAATGGCTTGATGAAAGTAGGACATCACTGCGGAGGATGTCTCAGTGTCGGGGTACAAGATTAAAATTTCTCCGTCATCACCGTCAAACAGTTTGTGCTGAGAAACTCGATAAGTGGACTATGTGCAGATACCAGGTATTCTGCGGCCATCTGTGCAATCAACCTCCATGATAACAGTGGACGAGAAGATGCGTTTACCTATCACCTATACAGTTTAAAGCGTCGTCTTACGAGAACAACGATGGTTGATACCGGCCCAACAGAGACGACTGTGACGTGAACTATTTCAGACAACGACGGAGGGTCTTGCATCATTTACCTGGTGTTGCCCGAACCAGGCGGGGCTTGCAATTAAATATGTGGGGCTGTAACCCGCATCACACTCATACCGTTTGTAGATTTGGGAGGATCGGCCTACCCAGATGGTTGGAATCCCCAGCCTATAGTAACAGCACCTAAGTGCAGTGGACTTATGTAGCCTTGTCGATGCCGCAGCGGCCACCGTTAAGGCTACATGAGTTCATCGCAAGGAACAGTCTAGCTACTGAAGCATAAGAATGCACGGAAGGCACTGCCTACTTCCCAGATAACCGTGACGCCGTGCGGGGTTTTCAGCGCTGGACACTAGGCTGGCCAATGGGGTGAGCTGGCGGGAGGAGAAATACGTGCTTGTAATCGGCGAAGCCATCAACGTTAGAACGATGCAGAGAGATCTGAGAGACGAAGAAAGAACGGCGCTCGCAGCAAGTGTCGTGCTGTACAATAGTGACTTTCCCATAGTTCAACACCTCACAACAGTACTTACTTCCTCTATCCGAAAAGATAAGCGGGCTACATGTCTTTTATATTATTGTATTGCATCGCATTTTAGAACAGTTTTTAGATATTCCAATCTTGATAAACTGGTTTTCAAAAACTACAAGGTCTTCAATTTTTTTCTTAAAATAAACCTCTTCTTTTTTAAGTTTCGTTTTTATCGTGTTATTAAAATAACACTTCCAAAACGAAGCTACATCACCTTCTCACATCCTCACACGGTCCTCTTCCCGTCCATACCTTCCAATTCACACCTCGTCGCGATCACGTCCTCCGACCGACCGTGCCGCTCGACAGCAATATCGTCCATCTGGGATGACATTAGCACCTGGAGAAACTCACGAGTCAGACCAATCCGACACCACAAAGCGGCGACGTATGTCTTCGTGGAAAGCTACGAGGGCAACTGAGTTGGAAATGTGTTTGACTCAGCGGGGAACAGTACGGCAAATGGTGAGCGTTACCAACAGTATCCTGCGCCGAATGAGCAGTGTTGCGCAGAATTAGCAGTGTTGCGCTGAATGAGCAATGTGTGCATGTGCGTGCACAAGGGCAATGTGGCAAAGGGGAAAAGAGCAAAGACGCCGCGAAGCACGGCTCGCTCACGACCGACACGGAGAGGTATCGGATGTGAAACGATTGCAAGGAATTTGCCCCCAGGCAGGATTGAACTACCGACCTTCCGCTTACTAAGGGGGTGCTCTACCACTAAGCTATAGGGGCTCTTACGAAAGAGCAAGCCGACCGCATTTTCTTCACCTCGATAATACGAATTACACACACCAACAATCACACTACACACCCTACATCACCTTCTCACATCCTCACACAGTCCTCTTCCCGTCCATACCTTCCAATTCACACCTCGTCGCGATCATGGCCTCCGACCGACCGTGCCGCTCGACAGCAAGATCGTCAATCCGGGATGGCATTAGCACCTGGAGAAACTCACGAGTCAGACCAATCCGACGCCACAAAGCGGCGACGTATGTCTTCGTGGAAAGCTACGAGGGCAACTGAGTTGGAAATGTGTTTGACTCAGCGGGGAACAGTACGGCAAATGATGAGCGTTACCAACAGTATCCTGCGCCGAATGAGCAGTGCTGCGCAGAATTAGCAGTGTTGCGCTGAATGAGCAATGTGTGCATGTGCGTGCACAAGGGCAATGTGGCAAAGGGGCAAAAGAGCAAAGACGCCGCGAAGCACGGCTCGCTCACGACCGACACGGAGAGGTATCGGATGTGAAACGATTGCAAGGAATTTGCCCCCAGGCAGGATTGAACTACCGACCTTCCGCTTACTAAGGGGGTGCTCTACCACTGAGCTATAGGGGCTCTTATGAAAGAGCAAGCCGACCGCATTTTCTTCACCTCGATAATACGAATTACACACACCAACAATCACACAACACACCCTACATCACCTTCTCACATCCTCACACAGTCCTCTTCCCGTCCATACCTTCCAATTCACACCTCGTCGCGATCATGGCCTCCGACCGACCGTGCCGCTCGACAGCAAGCACCTCAATCCGGGATGGCATTAGCACCTGGAGAAACTCACGAGTCAGACCAATCCGACACCACAAAGCGGCGACGTATGTCTTCGTGGAAAGCTACGAG